TGTTTTGTGAGGAAAATGTTGAGTTGTTTGTAAACTTGTTTTAAATATGTTTGAAAACATGTTTTTAGTTGTTTTAACATAAATATGTTTAGGTTCTGTAATGTTTTTATGTGAAAATGTTTGAATGTTTTTTTTCAAATGTTTTCAAGTTGGAATTATTTTTGCTTATAGTATTTTATTAAAAACATTGTTTTTATTTGTTTATTGTTGTTCTCAACAAAAACATTAAATTTCATTAAATTAAAAACACATTAATATTTAAATGAGTAAAAAATTTAAATTGTTTCTAATAAAAGGAAAAAACAATAAAAAACAGACTCTTGTGTTTATGACGAGGAAAATCTAAATAATTTTTTAATAAAAAAAAAGATTTTTATCTAAAGGAAAAAAAGAAATAAAATGTTTGTTTGTTTCAAGTGTTTGCGCAATTAATTTTGTATATAGAAAAGTTTAGCAGTGGGAATAAATAGACAAAATGTTAAGTAGACACGAATTTATAATTAAAAGTAAAATATTGTTAGACAGAAAAGGCAGGTGTGTGTGTGTATAAAATAATTTTGCTATAAATAGACAAAAAGAATGTTAAAGCATTTTTGCTTATTAAATAATTATGATTAAATAAGTTTAATGTCAAAAAACATTTTATAAGTCTGAACAAGCATTAAAACATAAATAAGACTATTATTAAGTGTTTAATTGTTTGTTTGTTTTCAAAGTAAACATGTTTTTAGTTGTTTTAAATAAAGAATGTTTAAGGTTTTTAATGTTTTGCGGAGGATGTTCGAACAAACATATGTTTTTATATTTGTGGACGAATTAACATGTTTTTGTTTGTTTGTTGCATAAAACATAAACAAGCATTAAAACATAAGGAAGTTTGTAATAAACAAAAATGTTTGAGACAAACATTAAAAAAACAAGTTTATTTAAAAATGTTTTTAATTGGATGTTTTGTTTGTCTGAAATGTATAAGAAGTTAAATGAAAATGTTTTTGTTTGTTTTTATTTTTGTTACTATTTACTTGTTATGTTTATTACTTGTTTAATTTTTGTTCCCAACATGTTGGAGGATTTTTAATGTTGTGTGTTTTTAAATAACAAATGTTTGTTATTTAATGTTTGTGAAAATTTTATTCTGAACAAATGTTTGATGTTTTTAATTTTAATTTGTTCAAAACATTTTAAAAACATAAAAGAACAAAAAATATTCACAAATAATTGTTTATGTTAGTAGAATACATATGTAAGAATTTATTAAAGTGCTACTAAAAGCGGCTTTTCTTTTACAGCAAAAAAGAAGCGAAAAGGGCAAAAGAGAAGAACAAGGAAGGAAAAGTAAAGGGTGTGTTTTGCGTTTTTGGCGTTTTTTTGGAATTTTTTGGAAGAAATTTTTTTGGAAAATTAAAAAAAATTTTCTTTTGAAAATTTTTAAATTAAAAAAAATTCCTCCCCTTGTCAAAAAAAATTTTTTTAATTAGCCTTTGGCTGTTTAAAACATTTTTATCTTGTGGAAAATAGTGTGTTTGTTTCATAAAAGATTGGCACTATAAAAAGCATTTGGCTAACCGGCAGAATAAATAAATGATGAATATAGAGAAAGAGGGAAAAGAGAAGAAAAAAATAAAAGAAGAGGCAAATAAAAAGCTTTAATAAATAAAAATGTTTGGGGGGAGGGGAATAAAGTATAAATATCTTTAAAATATTTAAAAACAAGGAAATTGGAAGTAAAAAAGGAGAAAAGAATAAAATAAGAAATTTAAAAATTAAAAAAATTAAAAAAAAATCTTTCGATGGTCGCCAAGCTTGCGCGCGCAGACTTCCGGCCTTTGATTTTTTCCTTAATTATTCCCCAACTAATTTACTGAACGAAATATTAGTCTAGACTACCGTATTTTCTCGGTAGTCAAAAACCTCTAATAATGTCCCTCTTCCGATTAATTCCCCATGCCAGAGCAGAGTTTAAACAATAATTCCCCACCCCCAAATACCCTACTACAGGTTCAAAGGTCAAAACTCAAATAATTCCCGATCCAATGGATAGGTTGAAATATTAATTCCCCAGGGGAATTAAGCGAGAAAATACGGATCTCCTCTATAAAGTTCAGAATTTTTGAGTAATTCTTTCAAAAGTTGTGGACATAAAACAACAGAAAAAAGGCTAATACTCAAGAAGATGTTCCGAAAATCTGAAATTTTCTGAAGTTTTTAGAAAAAATTTTTTTTAGAAATCTGAAGTTTTTAAAAAAAAACTTTCGGCATTCTTGATTGACATTCCAATTCACCTCTGCCAATCATTAACTAACAATATTTGGGACATCTACATATACAGAATGTGGGGATTTAACTAAAATAAATTCTCTATTTTACGAGCTTGTGACAAACACGGTTCTACGCCACAACGTCAATTCCTATATTCAACTTTTAAATTTAAAATTGAAAATTAATAAAAATGTAAAATTTATCGAGAAAAATTTTAAAGAAAAAAGAGAGAGGAGTAAATCAATTCTTATTAATTTTTTTCCTCCCCTATACATATGACAATCTCCTCCCCTCCCCCACATATTATCCTCCCTCCCTCGTGTATTACTCCCAATTTTAACAAAGAAATAAATAAACTAAATTTAAAAATTGAAATTTTTAAATTTAAATAAGTAAATAGTTAAATATATAAATTGGGTTGTTTTGAGGGTATTTATGAGGGTATAATAGTAGGTATAAAACAAAGTTGGAATAGTTGTGTTTTTGTATTTTTAGGTGTTTTAAAGTTGGAAATATTCTATTTTGTGTTTTATTTATAAAATAAAAGAATTGTGTTTTTCTCCAAGTTGGAGAATTAATTCAAGTTGGAATTAAAGTTTTATTGTGTTTTCTTAAAGAATCCAAGTTGGAAATATTGTGTTTTTAGTTAAATAAATTGTATTTTTCCAAGTTGGAATTAATTCAAGTTGGAATTCAAGTTGGAAAAAGTTTTAAAATCAAGTTGGAATTAATTCAAGTTTGTTTTTAAAACAATTAAAAATTTTGTATTTTCAAACTTGGAAAGGTTGTGTTTTCCGTAAAGTTTTAATTTAAAGTTGTGTTTTTCCAAGTTGGAATTTGTGTTTTTTTGTATTTATTATTAAAGGGAATATTTATTCTAAATTTGTATTTTCTTCAATAAATATATTTTTGTGTTTTATTTAAATTAAATTTAATTTAAAAATAGAACATTGAACAAATAATAAAATTTAAAAAGGTTGCAAAGAGAAAAAGAGGGAGGAAAGGAGAAAAGGTTTCTTCTCCCCCCATAAAAAGCATTTTCTTCTCTATGCGGCTCTCTTTGGGGAATTTAGAGCGCTAAAATTGGTAAAAGCGAGTCGATAGAAGAAAAAATAATTTTTTTTATTTATTTAAAAATGCAAAAAAATTATTTTAAATAGTTTTTATTTTAAATAGTTATTTTAAAATAGTTTTTATTTTAAAATACAGTTTAAATATTTAATTATAAGATAACCCCCATCAACTAGAAAATTGTCTTATAACGAGGCTGTATTAAATTGAAGGGTATCGCTTGAGAAGCTTTCTCCACTCACAGTCAGTGGTCAATCAAATTTTAGGAGGTATACTAAATAGAGGTCTACCTATTATTGGGGGTACCTTATATAGAGGTCCGAAAACATCTCATAATGAGATGTATATTAAATAGAGGGTATCCCTTAGAAAGATCATCCACCTAATTACCAACTATTAGTAATTGCTAACCAAAGTATATTAAATAGAGGGGTTCCTAGTTTTGGGGGTAGCTTAAATAGAGGTCTTTTACTGTTAACTCAAAAATAAATATTTTTTGAACCAACCAATTCTTCTACTGGGCATACAAAGGGATTAAAAGACGGATTAGTCAAGGAGATTAAATTGTGAAGATCTTCGATAATTTAAGTGTTGTTGCTTTATTAGTAGTAAAGAAAAATATAAAAAGAAGGCCTATAAAAGCAAAATTAATTTTTTAAAAAGATGACATTTGGACCCAATTTTGAAATTATGGTTATTAAAATAGTAGACATATGTCTAATATGGGTAATATAAGATTGTTAAATTATTTTGGAAAATATTTTCGATTGATTTCCCTAGAAAATCACAATTTTTCGCCGTTTTTTCACTTAAAAACAGAATGCCAAAAAATAAACATTCTAAATTTTAATTTCATTTTTGTCTAAAAAGGTCAAAAACAATTTTAAAAATTTATTTAAAAATTAAATTATAAATTCCCTTATTTAGGAAAAGGAAGAAAAAAATAAAAATAATAAAAGTTAATTAAAAATGGGTAAAAAGGGAAACGTAAATAAAGAAGTTAAGTGTGAACGGAAGTTAAAAGTAAAACAAAAAGGGTAAAAGAGGAGAGAGTAAAAAAGACAAATAAATGAGGGAAAATTAATTTATATTTAAGGTAAATATCTGAAAATTGGAACTTTTTTTATTTTTCAAAATTTTGTCCGCAAAAAAATTTGCGGACAAAATAATTTATTTGCGGACACCAAAAATTCTTTGCGGACAAAAATTTTTTTAAATTAAATCACCAAGTAATAAATATTCAGAAACGTCAGCATTTTTAATGTGAAAGACAATTTAAAGCAAAAAATGAGAAAAAGGAAAAGGAATGTAGAAAAATGTAGTAATACTTTTAGTTCTTATTAAAAATAGCAAAAAATAAATTTAAAAATTAATTCTAGGATGTCGAAGAATAAGTAGAAAATTAAAAAAAAATTAAAAATTAATTTATTAATTAAAGGAACACAAATTTGCCCAAAAAAATTTTTTTTCCGAAATTAAGGGTTTGTGGCTAAGTGGGTTATGTCTCTATTTAGGGACCCAGGTTCGAACCCTCTCCGGAAAAATACTTTTTTCTGACTCTAATTAATTATAAAATTAATTTATTAATTAATTAAACCAAAAAATTTGACAAAAAATATTTTTTAAGGTCCTCTTTCCTTGTACTTACTCCTTCCTCCCTATCGGCATTAATGGACAACAGTCTTCTAGGGGGTATTTTAAAAAAGATGGCATTTTCTGTGCCATTTAAAAATAAGAAAAAAAGTATAATAGCCCTTCCTGACCCTCTCTTCCTTTCAAAACTATTTTTATCTATTTTCCATCCTCCACTCATCATATATTAAAATACACAATCCCCGCTCCGATTTTGGGGGGGGGGGGGAGGGGGGGATTCTTTTGCTTGTTGTCGCTGTTGGGTGCCGCCGCTCTCATTAATATGCGCAATGTTTAAAATGAAGGGAAAAAATTTTTTTGGAAAGAAAGGGAGGGCAACAAGAAAAAAAAGAAAAGAAAAAACCAGTTCGGGACGATATAATAAAAATAAAATTTTTTTTTAATAAATTATATTTACCTAATTTATATTTGTATGTTTCTAATTTTAGGTTAATTAAACGTGTGGTGTAATTGAATGAATATTAATTAATCTTGAATTAAAGACTTTGTGGCCTAGTGGGTTACGACTTTGCCTGGGGACCTAGTAGGTTCGAACACTCTCCGGGGAAATTTACTATTGGATCTTCTCAAGCGTCCTTAGATTTCTTCTTAGTTGTCCTTATATTTCCTGACGTCCTTATTTTTCTTGGATATTCTTATTTTTTTAAGATGTCCTTATAAACAACTCGATTTCAAATGTCCCTATTTTTCTCCAGAACGTCTCAAATGTTTTCACAATTATTTTTCTATTTAATCTTTTATCTTAACTTTTTTTTTCTTATAAATTAAAAATGTGTGCACTTTAAAATAACTAAATATTTATTTAAACAAATTTTAAAATTATTTTTTCTTCAATTTAAGTGAAGGTCACTCTAATTTCAACAAATTATATAGTCAAGTCTAAAAATGAATAATATAAAAAAAGAGAACATAAAGGGAGGAGGAATATATGTATAAACTAAAAATTATATTTAAAAAAGAATTTGAGCGACAAAATGTGCGCGAGTGTTTTGTCTGGGAGGGAATTTTATGTGTGTGCGAGAATTTTGGCGTTTTTGGCGTTGTTATTTTTGGGGAATTTTTTCGAGTTTTTCTAAAAATAAATTAAATCTAATTTGGCATTCTGTATTTAAATATTTTTTGGGGAATTTACCATTTTGAAATTGACCGAAATTAAATTTTGGCGTTCGGTAAAAAAATTTTTTGGCGCACACTTAGATTTAGTCATTCATCACAAATCCTCTCTCCCCCTTACATTCTCCAAGTGAATTGCTTTGCCGATTTTTGAGGGGGCAATGTGATGATGATGATGCGTCCGTTTTGGTTTTAAAAGCATTGCGCAGTGAATGGTAGAAGAATAAAGAGAGGAGAAGGATGTAAAGGGGGGGAAGGAGTGAATAAAAATTAAAATTGTAGCAAACGGAAGTATTTAATTTATTAAAACAAATGTTTTTAAAGTGTTTACAAATTGTTTAAAAGGAAGAATTTTAATAAATAGAAGATTAAAAAAGTTGAGGGAAATAAAAAATGTTTGTCTATTTGAACTGCTTGAACTTGTTTTTTAGAAGATGATATTTGATCCCAAAATGTGTCAAAATGTAAATATGTGATGGTACATGGATGGAACATGCTTATGTAGATGGAACATGCCCATCAAGTCAGCCGCTAAATATTGGGTAGTCATGTTCATCTACAGGTACTGCTTGAACTTGGCTTAAAATTTAGTTAAATGACATGGTCCCCAAATCTATTTTCCCGAAGTAATTAAAAAGCTTGAAAATTGAATTTAAATTTTTCTTAAAGTTGAAGCAGTACAAGTAGATGAACATAAAAAGTTGAGGGGATTTTCGAATTTATTTGTTAAAAATTTATTTTTGGATTGAAAATGGATGGAAATGAGGAATTGAAATTTAAAAATACAAAAATAAATTTTTTAAAGTTCAAATTACCCCTAAAGGAAGGGAAATTATTTAAAAATTTAAATTTTAAAAAATTAAAAAAATTTCAATCCCTTCCCTCCTCCTTTTCCTCTATAAAAGACCAATTTTTGTCTTTTTTTAGTGCTAACTAATACCAGCTAAATAACTAAATAAAAACCTTCCATCTGCCGCTTTTTTTTCTTGCATTTAATATTTGTGTGTGTGTTTGGGGGGAGGAATAAAAAAAAGAAAGAAAAGGAATGGAATGGAATGGAATGGAAAATGAAAATATAAAATAAATAAAAAGAAATTTTAAAATGTCAAAAATATAAAAAAAGGGAATAAATTGATACATATATAAAGTTTTTAATTTTAAAGACGTTGAAAATCAGAGAAATTTCTGATAAAATTCTGATTTTGAAATGAAATTCTGATTTTGTTTTTATTCTTGTATGAAATTATGATTTTAATTCTGATTTTTTTGGTAGAAAATTCTGATTTCTGAGTTATGTTCTGATTTTTATTCTGATTCTCTAATGAAATTCTGATTGGTTAAATTCTGATTTTTTATTCTGATTTTAATTCTGATTTTCTGGTAGAAAATTCTGAATTCTGAGATCTGTTCTGATTTTTTATTGTTTTTAAACTGATTTTCTATTCTGGTATACCATTACTTTGATGTAGTGGTTAACACCCTCAGACTTGCCATTTAACGAGACGAAAGTTAAATACATGTCGGCAGGTGGAGGTAATTTTATTTGCTTTTTAATCAAATAGCTCGCCAAAATGAGGGAGCCTGCCTTAAAATTTATTCTGATTTTTAATTCTTTTGGGAAAAATTTTAGGTTGAATAGTGCATAACAGGGCTGTATAATTTTGAATTTTTGAAAGTGGAAGGCGGAAACGGAAGGTCCAAAAAAGGCGAAATTTTGGGGAAGGCATAAGTGGAAGCGGAAGAAAATACAGCCCTGGTTATCCCCTCATACCTTTAATTCTCTTAATTTATTATTTTTAAGTTAAAAATTAAACTTTTCTATCCCACTTATAATCAGAAAAAGGGCATTTATTTATACTTAAATTTAAAAAAATAATAAATAATAAATGTAATAAACATGAAAAAAAAAACTAAAAAATTAATATTTTAAAGGTAATTATTTATTTTGTGCAGCTGTTTGTCAATTTAATATATTAATAATTTTTTCTAAAAATAAAAAAAGGGGGAGTAAATAAAGATTATTTTTTAAAAGTTTATGTTTATTATGTATTTTCGTGTATTTATTTGTTGCAAATGAGGGAAAAATAAAAATATAATTTTTATAAGGCTTTTTAGAAGGCCAGAGGTGGGTGGAACAATCAGAGGTGTCGGAAATGGGAAGAGCCGGAAATCGGAACTGGCTCAAAAGTCGGAAATAGGAAATCAAAATTCTTTTCGGAAATTGGAAGGAAAAAACGCCGGAACTCGGAATTCCGACCCACCTCTGGTCCCGGCCCTATAACTCATGAAAGAGTGGATACTTTTTAATGTTTTTGGTACCAATCGATAGAGAATTAAATACACTATAAGATTTCAAAAAATCAAAATACTAGAGTGATTGATAAAAAAGTTATGGTCGATAAAGTGCCGAAATATGATATTTTTTGAAGAAGAGTTAGTTTTTAGTTTATAATTTTTTATCAATCAGTCGAGAATTTTGATTTTTTGAAATCTTGTAGAACATTTAATTCTCTATCTAATGGTACCAAAATCATGTAAAAGTGTCCATCCCTTCATGAGTTATAGGGTCGGGACTTAGATGAACTTGTCCGTCAGAATACAAGTATATTATATTCAGAATTAAAAATCAAAGGGGAAAGCCCTAATATGTATGTTTAGGTATTTTTATCGTACAATTTTTTAGTTGATTATAAATTTAAAACATTAAAATAAATTTAAGAGGAAAATGAAAGAGAAAAAAAGCTATAAAATATACCTCTACCATTCAATCCCCCTCACATGTCTAAATATTTGATTAAGAAAAAAAATAAAAATAGATTAATAAAAAAATATTTTTATTGTATTTTTTCTTTTTTTTAATATACCTATATAGATTTACAATAATATAAAGCAACAAAAAACATGATCGAATGTGTCACTCTCCCACTATTTTATGTCACAGTAACATTAATAACGACGATAAAAGTTTCTTTTTAGTATTTAGGTGTAAAAGAAAGAAACTCTTTTGCTTACGACCATACCGCGTTGAAAGCACGCCATCCCGTCCGATCTGGCAAGTTAAGCAACGCTGGGCCTCCTTATTACTTGGAACGGAGACGTCCTGGGAATCGGGGGTGTCGTGAGCTTTTTTTTGAGAAAAAATTTTTTTAAAGAATTTTCTGAATATCGTTGACTATTTGATATGAAACAAAATTTTAAACATTTTTATTCAGATTAATAAAACATCAAAAACAGCATGGAATATTTAATAATTGTTTTTCATATAATATAAATGATTGGCTTGATAAAGGCTTATAAATTTTTACAACGTACAGGGACCCTCTTAATGGACCCTCTTACCTCTTAATCCTGGACCCTCTTAATCCCTTAAATGCCTTGATTTTCCCCAAAATTTTTGTCCATAACTTTATGGGACGAGCACTACTCATAAAGAAATGGTCACTTTTTCATGTTTTTGGTATCATTTGATAGAGAATCAAAAGCTCTACAACATATAATTCAACGGGGGGTGTCCCCAGTAGACAGCCAAGTCATTTGCACTTTGCCCAACATTATTGGTTAATTCGGGGTTTGCCCCATTGTCCAGAAGAAGCCTACAAACTTCAATATTTCCAGCTTGTGCCCCATACATAAGTGGAGTCCAACCATTTCTGTTTCTAGGGCGGTATTATAAAAACCGGGTTGGGTTACCAGGTTCTTTGCTTGCGCCGAAAAAATTCTCTTCTATTTGGCGCAGCGGTCAAGAAAAGGAAAAGAGGAGGAGAAATGAAATAAGCAATAAAGAGGAAAAAGAGGCGCTCGCGCCGAAAAAATAAGGAAGAGAAGAAAAATGAGAAGGTATACGGTAGAGTTGCGGGTAAAATTTTAACCCTGCTCGGAGCAGGATAGAAATTATTTTAAAAAATCATTAAAAATTGAAAATTCGTGGAAAAATTCTAAATTAAATATTTTTAGAAAGTTTGAAGTGTGCTCTATTTAATGATATAATTTTTGAAATTTTTTCTTTAAAAATAAATTTATACTAATTTTTAGCAAAAAGTACCTGATTTTTAGTCATTTTTTAACGAAAAGTAGTACCATACAAGAAAATTCATAACTTTTAAAAAAATCGGTCAAAATTTTTAATTTTTTGGTATTTCATAGTTAACAATCCGAACTATATTTTGGCAAAAAAATTAAATTTTTAGCTACATTTTAAAAGAAGTTATGATTTTTCTCCAAAATAGGGAGAAATGAAAAAATGAGCGACGCCAAACACTCTGCTTAGGGAAAAGTCGGCGCGGCCGCAATGCAGGATTCCGCTGCTTTTGTTTGATATGCTTGCGCCGCAGCAAAACGGCGCAGAAAACCCGCAGCTGATGGTTGGGTTACCCTCAACCCTCATTTTATAATACCGCCCCTGAAGTTCACCAACTCGTTGTTGTTAAGTATATATTCCTATAAAAATAAATTATTTGTGGAGTATTTTACGGTGTACGGAATTTTCGTCTCTGGAACATTCGTCTCAAGACTTTTCGGAACTTTCGTCTCCAACATTTTCGGAATTTTCGTCTCCAGCGGAATATTCGTCACCAAGGAAATAAACGGAATTTTCGTCTCCGCAATTTTCGTCTCCGCTAGGAATTTTCGTCTCCAGAAAAAAATGATGTGGTCCGTCAACGGGGATGTGTTCCGGCAACGGGGGTAGTTGCCCGTCAGCGGGGGATAGTGTTCCGTCAGCGGGGGAAAGTTTTCCTCTGGAGACGAAAATTCCTAGCGGAGACGAAAATTGCGGAGACGAAAATTCCGGCACCCGTATTTTACTATCGAATAACCTCAACTAGTGCATAATTGCCTACCGAAGCGGCCATAAAAATATCCATTTTGTGATTATTCAGATTTGGAGGATTAAAAGGCAAGGCTTCAAAGCTATTTAAAAATGACTGATCACCTTTATTATTTTTGTTAAAGAAATGTGACATTTTTATTTTAGATTTCTGAAAAATAAATATAAAAATTAATAAAAAATTTTTGCGGATATAAAATCGAAAAATATGGACATAAAATATGGATATAAAATCCAGAAATATGGATCAAAAATATGGATCAGTTAAAAGTTATAACACATTAAGTCCAGTTATTTTGTGTTTTTCACATTTATCGGGTAATAACTTTTTAACGAGTGATAAGACTTGATCCATTAAGTTCGAAAAAAGATTCCACCTATCGGGGCTTTCGAAAGATATAAAATTTATTTACATTGGATCAAGCATCAAAAAGTTAAAGCTGATCAAATTCGGCTCAGTTTGTGGGGTATAACTGATAGGTACCGTATTTTATGTAGAAAATAATAATTTTGCGTTTAACTTTTGCATTTTAAGAGCATTTAAATTAAGAGAATGTAAGTGCATTTAAAATTTCTTTTAAAATTTTTTTGAAATAAATTTCTGCGAAAAATTACTAAAAAAATTTTTGACTAAAAATCTCCAAAATTTTGAAAATTTTCGCCAATTTTAATAAAATTTACCAAAAAAGGACTAAATATGGACCAAAATATGAAAAAAAGGAGAAATTTTAAAAACCATTCTAGAAACCCTAAAACAAGCCAAAAACATGTTTTTCGTAGTAGTAAAATATGGATTTCCATATAATTACACACCCTGATCATCAGATATAGCCAAACGTGGTATCATTCGACCAAGCTTGAAGAGCTCTTCCGAATGATTTATATAACAAAAAAAGTTCAAAATGGTCAGTGAAACGGTGAAAAAAAGGTTATTACTGGGGAGTTTTTTATACGATTTAGCGATGAAAAACGTATTGAACGTAAAAACAAATTTTATAAAATTTAAGAAAAAATTATTTATGAAATGGTTACATAGATTTTGGTAGTACAGGGTGCGTCATAAGTAATTGGACACTTTTAAAATCCTTATAACTTTTTTTGGTCTCAATATTTTTAATCGATTTTATGCTTATTTTTTAGCTCATTCAATTCTCTATTATGGCTAATCAACGTGATTCTATAATTTCTCTTTTTTTGTTAAAAAATTCAGTCCGCAAAATTTCATCTCTTTTGAATGTCCCAAAGAGCACTGTACAATACACAATCAAAAAATTCTGGTGAAAATTTTTTGGGAGGAAATTTTTTTAGAATTAATTTAGTAATCATGGCACGACTAAGAACTAACAAAAAAGTGGAAGACCAAGTTCCGTCAGCACTTCCAAGTATATCAAAATGATCAAAATGAGGGTGCATCGCAATTCTCGACCCTCAAGTGAGAAAATTGTCTCGTGAAACCGGAATAAGTGAGATGACCGTCAGACGAATAGCTAAAAATAAACTTGGGTTAAAACCCTACAAAATTTAAAAAGTTGGTTTTTTCCTAACAGAAAAAACCAAAAAAGTTAGGCTTGAAAGATGCAAACTGCTCCTCCAGTGGCACGCATGTCCGGACATTCTCTTCACAGACGAAAAAATTTTTACAATAAAAAACGTACACAACCATCAAAATTATAGAATCTGGACTACAGAATCTCCTCTTTCCGATAAGCTTATCACTCATTCCCAACATCCCCAATCTGTCATGGTTTTGGCCGGTATTAGCGCGTCAGTCAAAAAACCTCTTATTTTCGTGAATCCTGGGGTAAAAGTCAACAAAGACTATTACTTGCGAGAAATTTTTCAGCGTGTTCTGAAGCCTCGGTTCAAGAGCCATTTCGGATGCATGGTCTGGATTTTCCAACAGGACACTGCTCTGGTACACAAAGCGAAAGAAGTTCAGGACTGATGCAAGGCCAATTTCCATGGGTTCATTAGCGCTCAGGAATAACCGCCCTACTCCCCCGATTTGAATCCGATGGATTATTCTTTTTGGTCTATTTTGGAGTTCAGGGTCTGTGCTATGCCTCATAAAAGTTTGGAGTCTCTGCGCCACTCTCTCACCCGAGAGTGGGACTTAATTACCCTCAAAGAGGTGCGTGCTATTTGCGAAAATTTGTCTTCACGCCCTCGCCTCTGGATCAAAGCCAAGGGTGGGTATCTCGAATCTTCTTGATTATTTTTGTTCCTTATTTAATTCTCTATCATTTGAATGTATTTCGATTTTATTTGATTGTGTTTCAATAAAGTTATGAGAGAAAACAAGTGTCCAATTACTTATGACGCACCCTGTATATATAGGTATATTTTTTGGAGGAGTTACCCTATTCAATTATACAATTACAAAAAATGGCAATCGGCAAAGTGCTGAAATAAGAGGCATTTTGGAACGCATAAACAAATGATTAATTCCTTTGTAGAGAAGATGAAAAAGATTCGGGGAGATTATGCATTTGAAAATGCATCAACGGGGAGTTGATGATTTCAATAAATTTTGAAAATTTTTCCCTTCAAAGATTGCTGATTTTATGCCCCCAAAATAATCCTTTTTCTTTTTTTTCTCATTTTGTATTCAAATAATGGCTATAAGCACATAAAAAGGTTTTCGAGGACTAAACAATTTTGTTTAATTTCGTTTTTTTTAATTTAGCTAATAAATTAACAATAATTTATTTCAATATTTTATGGCCATATTTTGCGATTTAATTTCAATAAAAATCCGCTCCATGCTAATCTTAACTTCTAATTCTTCTTAAACGTAAAAGAAAGCACTTCTTTTGCTTACGACCATACCGCGTTGAAAGCACGCCATCCCGTCCGATCTGGCAAGTTAAGCAACGCTGGGCCTCCTTAGTACTTGGAACGGAGACGTCCTGGGAATCGGGGGTGTCGTAAGCTTTTTTTGAGAAAAAATTTTTTTAAAGAATTTTCTGAATATCGTATTTGATATGAAACAAAATTTTAAACATTTTTATTCAGATTAATAAAACATCAAAAACAGCATGGAATATTTAATAATTGTTTTTCATATAATATAAATGATTGGCTTGATAAAGGCTTATAAATTTTTACAACGTACAGGGATTTAAATCAGAATTTCTATATAATTTTTTAAGTTTTTTTCCTAATCTAAAAGTAAACAATAACAATATTTTATTATACAATAAGGTAGAGAACGAGAGGAAAATCTTTTCCGGAAAATATTAAAAAAATTTATGGGAATTATGACAACTTTCCGGAAAAATAAATAGAATCCGGAAAACAAATAAAAACAATTACAGAATATTTCCGGAAAAACTTTTCCGGAAATACTTATTAAAATGTTTCTGGAAAATTAGCTATAAACTTTAAAGTTTTCTCTGATTCTCTAACCACAAACGAATGTTGATAATATATACAATCTATATTTTCTCTAACAATAATACATACTAACGTGAGTGAAAATGCAAGCAAGCAACAGGGTTGGGGGTGTGATATATAGAGATGATTTTTAAGGATTTAACAAAAAAAATTTTTTTGATAAAATTTTATTTTTTGGCTGTTTAAAAAATTATTAATTTTTTTGATCAATAAAATCCAAAAAATCTTTTTTTAATCAAAACCCAGCCAAAAAACAAAAAAAAATTATCAAAAAAATTAATAATTATGTATATTTATAGGTATAAGTATTTTTAAAAAATTTTTTTACAATTTTCTCCTAACAGAATCCAATAAAACTGAAGCTGAAGGTATTGAAAGTCTTTTTGTCGTTTGTGAATTTTTTGATGTTGTTGAATTGGCTGATATTAATTCTGCTCCCGGAGCTGTTAAATATTGTTTGTTTTGTTGTTGATGTTCTTGGGAAGTAGAAGAAATTGAACAAGTTGCAACATTAGAAGAAGAATTTGAGACTAAAACACCTTCTTGACTAGATACTGAACGAGGCATAAATGTTTGTTTTTGGGATGAAGTACCTAGAAAAATTAAAAATCTTTTTTTTGATTAAAAATCAAGGAGATCGTTACAACAAACCCCCTCACATTTATGTCTCTCTACCCCAATATGTTTCTCTATAATGTTGTTCACTAACTTTTCCGGAAAATAAAGTATAGTTATTGTTCAATTCTTTAATTTCCGGAAACGTTTCACAATTAGTTTTATATAATTTTGTCTCTCCATTTTTTCTATGTAACTAGAGCCTCCGTCAACTTTTCCGGAAAAAAATTAAAGTCGTTTACTTAAAATATGTTACTGAAAAATTAATATAAGTATAGAATTTACTGAAAAAAATACTTAGTTAAATATTCTCTAAATTTTCCGGAAACGTTTCTAAATTTATGATCTCTATTTTCGATATAAAATGTTGTCTCTCATAACTTTTCCGAAGAACTTTAAATTTTTTATTTTCCGGAAACATTTAAAAATCAAGTATTTTATAGAGAAACATAAATTGTATTTTAAAAAAGTTAGAGAGCACAACTGTAATTTTTAAAATTTTTACCCGGCACAATATCTACAGCATTCCCTCTTTTTCCACTTAATCTCCTCAATAATGAAGAATTAGCTACTAAAGCAGCAGCAGAACTTCCTCCCCCTCCTCCACCACCTTTAACACGTCCATTTCCCCCTCCACCATTACTTCCTCCTCCTCCCCTTAAATTTGTTGTTGGTCGACGTAAAGGTTTTTTCCTTAAAGGTTTTCCAACATTCCGGCGAGGTTCTCCTTCTTTAATTGATGTATTTGTTAACGGGACTACATGGACAGTTAATTCGTTTCCACAGGAAAGAAGTCTATGCATTAATTGGGGATGTGTCATATTGTGAACCTGAAAGAATTGTTGAAGATTTTAAGGATTGGTGAAGAATTGGGGTGGTAAGATTTGATGATAGGAATAAATTAGAAAAAACAGAAAATTAGAGTAGAACAAAACCGGTAAACCGCCCGGTTAATTTTCCCCAGTGGCGAGTCAAAAAGAGAATAAGAAAGAGAAAAAAGACCCTCCACAGGAAAAAATTAACCAGGCGGTTAACCGATTTTGTCCTACTCTACAGAACATGACCAGAATAGAACAGAATATTTTCAGAATAAAATCAGAATTTTTCAGAAGAGAACCAGAATATTTCAGAAAATATAAACTATACCGATTGTGTATGCACATGCGAGATTAAATCATTAACCCTCAATCCAGCCTCCCATGCAGGAGAACCTTCACGTACAGCAGACACAATGTGTTCAATTGAGTAATATTCAGAAAGCTTTAAAAAATTTTTTTAAATTTTTTTTCAAAAACCCTCACCTCGCTTAAATAAACCCTCACAGATCTAATTGTAAATCCAAATCCTTGAGCACCTTTTCTAATAACTATAGGCCTTGATAAACCACCAGAAATAGATGTTCGATGATTTATAGGATGTAAAGAAGAGGGAGGGGGTAATAAAGAACATGGAGATGGAAGGGTTGTTGTTGAGTGACCTTGAAAAGAAAAAAAATTGTTTGAGATAGTTAAGAAAAGTTTAGAAGAACAAACAGATTGGGGGCAGGAATCGAACTTCCGCGACAACTTTTTCCACTACTAGTTCAAATCAGAAAAAGCTACCAAGAGCGAAAAATTGTTTTGCTCTTCTCTCATAATAGTATACCTAGACTTCAAGGAATGGACCAAACCATCCCTGGTAGACTACCTTGCCTTTATTAGCTAAAGCTTAATATCCTCCTCACGTTTCCTTATTTACCTTTTTTAAATTAAATATATAATTTGACTAACTTGTGTTTTAATAACTTTTTTTTCTTCATTTTATTTTTTAAATTACCCATTTTATTATTTCAATTTATTATTTTTGTTTTATTTTTCCTTTATTTTTCCCTTTCCTTTATTTATATCTAGTTAATGTAAATGTAGGGATTATATAAGCATCTCTAAATCTACTACTTTTTCTTATTGTTCCAAATCTTTGAAACCTTATTTTTCCATCGAAAATTAAAAAAATTATTCGAAATGAAATTAACAAGAAAATCAAATTTACCAGATTGATGAACTTCCAAAGAAGGTCCACAGGGTTCTGCTGGGGGTTGTTGCTGTTGTTTTTGACATTCATAAGAGGAAGCGCTAGAGACCGAGGCGCATGAGGGAGATTGTTGACCAGATGAGCTGCTATGGACTGAAAAAATATTTTTTATAAAAAATATTTCAAAATGGTGAAATTTCAAAACGCCCAATATCAAGTATATCCACTACCTTGTTGAGCAGCATTTAACCCGTAAGAATGATAATATATTGTATTCGTTGTACTTGTTTGAGGAGAAGAATTATTAGAACTAGTTTGTTGTTGTTGTTGAGGTATTTGAACTTTAAGGGTTTCCGGTGGGGCTTTTGTTGTGTTTGGAATACGACAAGAAGTTGAACGAAGTTGGCGGTTTAATTGGGGGGAATTTATTGGGGGAATTTGTTGTTGTTTATTTTGTTGTTGTTGCTGTTGGGATGAATCCGTAATCTTTAAAAGAAATTTTTTTAATTAGGATTACGGTAATTTTTAAATCGTAGTCCTCATCCTGCTTCGTACTCAAAGTCTGAGACTTTTTGTACTACCACATATCGGGACGGACATATCGGGACGGACATATCGGGATTTCTGTAACGAAAAATAACCTCTTGTGCTTACGTTGGTTCCAAAACATAAAAATACTTTTCTTCAAGACCCAGCACCCGTAAGTCCCGAAATCAGTTGACTGTTAGTACATTGAAATACCCCGATATGTCCGGAGAATCTTTTTTCAAACCCACCAATTCATGTACAACAGTAGAAGGACGCTTCTTTTGTACCCTTCTAATAACAACATTTCCCCCACCTCCCCCTCCACTATTTTCTTGCCAACGTTCTTGCACTGGAGAAAGATGTTGTAATTGTGTGTGGTGTTCATTTGCTTGTAACAATTCTTCAGGGCGACGTTGTAATGGTAAATGGGTGGAAGAGGAAGGATTAGAGCTTGTTACAACACTGGCACATGGAGAAATTGCCAACCTTTAAAATTAAAAAGGTATAAAATCTCAAAACACCCAATAACAAATGCCAAAAACAAAAAAAGGTCCATAAATATTCTCCCCTCACCTCGGTAACTGTCCATGACTCTTCCTAGAAGCATCATATTGAAAATGAGAAACATCAACAGAAGAATCCGTCGATGAACACGTATTTGTTGTTTGTCCACCAGCACCAGTCCCAGTAGTTCCACTACTACTAGTAGACATATTTGTAGTGTTTGAATGTCTTTGACTAGAGAAACGTCTTCGTAAAATGACAGCAGAAGGAATTACATCAGCTCCAGAAAATTCGTTTAAACGTTGATTTGTTGTAGAAGATTTTGGACGGGTTTGGAGTTGTTCGGATGGTGATAAGGAAGTTGGTTCTTGGAGCAAATCTGAGAGAGAATTTTGTTTTATGGAAGCTATTATTTAATTTGTTATGGCTAAAAACAATAGTTATGTGGTGTTCCAGTTTTTGGTGGTTTTAAAAAGTAGCCTGCCACAAGGCAGAGATTCAACAAAGATGGAAATGAACTGAGCTTCAGGTTCTCAGAAACCGGTAACACTTCCCATCCATCCTTACCTCCCCCTAACCGACTAGTTCAAACTTTCTAACATCTCAAAGTCTTAAACATATTTCCTTACCAGCATTCCTCGAAACACATCTACTACTTGGTTGCTGAGGAAGACCTAAAGAAATAGATCCTGGAGCACTTCCAACCCCAGAAGAAGCTTTATCGTCACTATCCAAATCGTGTTGTTGTTGTGAATTTTGTAATTGTTGTTGTTGACTCCTTTCTATAGCAGCAGCATGTGCAGCTTGTAACATAGCCATTCCACCTATGGGAAGTTCTAAACCTCCAACAATACTGTGACGTGGAGAAGCGGTGGAAAATGACCTGAGAAAGGAGAAATTTTTTTGGAAAATTTATTGAGGCTTAAAAACCCACCAAAACATAGGTACTTGTTCATCATCCTCAGCAACTTCGGACTCCGCATCATGATTATAACGATCCGTTCTCGAGTCAAAATAAGAGGTATCTTCATCATTTTCCAATTGAGGCACAAATTCTGCTTTTTGTCGTAAAATTGTGCCAAAGTCGATAGGAGCAAAGAAAGGATGTGAGGACACTTGCCCAGCACCTCCCATAGTTCCAAGACGGTCTGCAGGGTTTTTTTCGAGAAGCATTCGAATGAGAGATTCGGCATCAGGGTTTAGAGCCTAGAAATTAAAGTAAATTTAAAATAGCCAAATCGAAAAAGTCAAATTTAAAAGTGGTCAATCATTATTTTCGAGCCTTAAAAATTTTCCAAAAAAAATTTTTTTAACCAAAAACCCCTCCACTCACCTCCTCTCCTTCTGGATACTCCACTTCTTCATTTATTATATTTGCAAAAAGCGCCTCAGGCGAATCACCCAAAAATGGAACAATTCCAACAAGAAATTCGTAAAGAATGACGCCCAAAGCCCACCAATCTACTGGCTTTCCTAAAGAAAAAAATTTTTCAGAAAATAATTTCTTCCACCCACCATATCCTTGTCTCAAAATTACTTCTGGGGCAATATATTCTGGAGTTCCACAAAGCTGGTTATCTTTGAATTGTTGTGTGTCATCTTGAAGATAACCCTTAAAATACCAAAATTTTTTATTAAAAAAATTTTTTTCAAATTTTTTTCATAAGTCACATTAGAAAATGGTCAATCAAGTCTATACCAGGCTATCTAGACCAGGAAAGTCACGGATTATCCGAAACTCGATCGAATAAAATTTTGAAAACTCGTCCAGACTTTTCCTCGACCTGTAACACCGCGGGCATAGACCTTTTCCTTTAGGACCAAATAAGGCAAAAACTCTACCTCAGACACCAAAGTTGTTCTATTCATCAATCCAATCTTCGAAAGTCCAAAATCAGTTAATTTAATATGCCCCATAGAAGTAATTAATAAATTGTCTGGCTTCAAGTCTCTATGAACAATTCCACAAGAATGCAAATATTCAACAGCCATTACAGTTTCGGCTACATAAAGACGAGCTAATTCGATTGGTAAAGTACCGGCAGATTTTAATAAAGAAGCACAATCCCCTCCCTCAACATATTCCATTAACATACATAAATGTTGTTTTGTTTCGAAAGATCCGTAAAAACAAACGACAAAAGGCTGGAAAAAATTAAATTTAAAAATGGTTAATTTCTATAGATCTAAAGAAGGCACCGTTTAATAAAGGCGTTAGACCGAGGGTACCGGTTAATAACGTCTAAAATTCTCAAAATTTTCGCCCGCAACGCAAAAAATGGAAGAAATCTGGCTTCAGGACTAGGGTTGCCAAAATGGCCCGACTCGGACCGAAAGATCGAGTCGGGCCTAGGATATTTGGCCCGAAAGACTCGTTTGACCCGACTCGACAAATATGAGGCCCGAAAAAGACTCGTTTGACCCGACTCGATAAAAATGAAGCCCGAAAAAAATGACTCGACCGTCGGCCCGACTCGAAAACGGCAACCCTATTCAGGACCTTGTAAAATTCTCAAACGTGAGGAGCGAAAACTTTTCTAGCAATAGTGACAGAATCAATCCTGCCAGAGGGAGCTAGATCGATATATTTCCAAAATGTCGTTTGGTGAAAGATGGGCCCTAGGAAGTAGAGATCGGACTAGAGGAAATCCGACAGAGTTGAGATTTTTGACTGAAATCTCGTCCCAGTGTCCGATCTTTACTTGGAATTCCGGTTCACCCCAAGAAGACTCTCTCACTCCTAGTTAAATTAAAAAATTCATAAAAACTCTCTTACATTATCAGTAAATGTCAAAATATCCCTTTCAGCATAAACTTGTTCAACTTGATTTCTCAACAATAAAGTATGTTTTTTCATCTTTTTTAAAGCAAAACGTTGTCTAGTTTTTTTGTGTTTAACCAAATAAACAGCTCCATAAGCCCCATTACTTATTAGGCGAATATTTTCAAAATCTTCTTCTTTTGGTGCTTCTCTAGTTGTTTGAGGAGGTAATATTAACTTGTCTGAAGAATCTTTAAAAAAAGTTAAGAATATATAGAAAATACTCGAAAGTGTAAAAAAATTAAGAGAAATTTGAGAATATCCGAAAAAATAAATCGTTTCGGAGTAGAGGTCTTCCGAATCAGAAAAACATTGAAAATCGAAACTCGAAAAAAGTTCAAAAATATGAAAATCAATCAAAATTTTTTGTTGACTATCCTATTTTTTTAACTTATAATTATAAAAGCGGATCGGGAACCAATTGACCAAGAAAGTCGGGAAAAACGAAAAAACCCAAAACTATGAAACGCCCCGAACTAGGTATCCCAATCCCAAGGTCATTTCCCAAACCGACTCCCGGGGGTTTTATGAAAATCAACTCGCGTCTCCCGGAGGTTTTCTTCTCCCGAGCATCACTACTACCCCAAATTTATATGAATACCTCCAAAGATAAATTTTTAACAAAACTTATAGTAAAAGAAAACCTTGTGCTGTCAAATGAGCATCTTTTTGTCCTTTATTCTGTCCAAATTCATCCTCATTTTCTTCCTCATCCTCCTCTCCAGCCCCATCCCCAGCTTGTTCTCCAATATTTTTTTCCAAAGAAGATAAATTTTTATTTAATCCCAATTTTGTCAAAATATATTGAGGCAAATCTGGAACACGAGCAGAGCCAGAACCTAATTGTTCACGTACTGCAACTTCTGCATCTCCAAGTAATTGATAAAATTCATCAGGGTTGAATTCCTATAAATTTATTTTAAATAAGAAAAAATAAAATTTTTAAAAATTTTAAAAGGTTAGGATGGTCGGGAAAGAAATTTGAAATATTTTATGAAAAATTCCAAAAATTGAAAAAGCTTTTCAAGAATTCTCAAAACGAATTATTCAGGAAAATTAGCATCAGGGTTGGACACAGTTGCGAATTGTGTTTTTTTTGACTTGCGGATTGCGGCTGCGGAAAGTTTTGTTCAACTGCGTCCACCCCTGCTTTGCATCTCCTCAATTCTAATGACTTCTTGGACAAAAAAATAATAAAAAAAATAAAAACAAACCAAGCATTCCAAAAGTCTAGCAGTTCTAGAAACAATCATTAACATTTGTTTGACTAGACGAAATAAATATTTATAAGATTCTGGTCCAACTTTCATTTCAGCCTTAAAATTAAAAAATAAATTTTTTCGAAGCACTTTAATCGTAAGAATTGACCCACCCTTATTTCACTTATAGTTAAATTAAATATGTTATATTTTGGTGTAGTGGGATAATGCTTTGTTTTTATATGAAATGATATACGGGTTCGACTCCCCATTTGAGAAGAATAATTTTTTACTTAAAGAATCCCAAAAAAATTTTTTTAATAATTAGAAAATTTTTTAGAAATTAAAAAAAAATCCGGCAGAAAATTTTCTCAAAAAATTTTTAAAAAACCTCAGCCAAAGTTTCATCCAATCTAACAGACATTGAACAAAAATAAACACAATTTAACAAATCATCCCGACTTTTTTGTAAACAATCTGCAGCAATTTCACATAATTGATGATGTAAAAAACGTGTAGCACCATCAGAAATTAAACGTAATAATTGAGGGTCTATTGGGGGAGCATTTGTTGAACAACCAAATAATGGAGAGGAGGAAATTGTTGAGGAGGTTATTATTGGCGGGGTATTAGTTGATAATTGATCTCCTCCTCCATTTCCTTTTAAAAAAATAATAATTTTAACACAATTCTAAATCAAAATAAAAGAGTAATTTTACTCCCACTTATCAGTATTTGCAAATTTAAAATTTTCGCATTCGTAAGTTTTATTTTTGTAGTAAGAGACTTGTATAGAGAGACTAATATCCCCCGGCACGAGCTTCCAAACACTGGTTCTCGACCTGAATCTTTGTTTCTCCCCTTCCGCACATTGTCAGGGTCTCAATAACCAAATAACACCAAATTTTTAATTGACTGACCATTATGAGTCCCTGACAATTAGCAAAAGAGGAACGAAAACAAAAAACGGATAATCACGCCTTCTTCAATCAATTTTCAACCAGTTATGATTCCCACGTTTTCCCTATTAGTTTAAAAAACATCCATAAAAATTTTGTCAGCAGACCCAGTTGTAAGTAGAAAAATGAAAAAAGCTATTTTAAAATCCCAGACTTCAAAATCAATTTAAAGAGAAACCTCCATCCTGTCCTTGATTTAATTGTTGACCACCACCAAAAAACGAATTTCCAGGGGAAAATCCACCAGCAGACCCAGCACTCAAAAAATTTGTATTAGACGAACGATGATGAATTACTGAATCTCCAATTGCTGTCGCCGATTCTGTTACTAAAGGAGAAAGTGGTCGAGTAAGTAAATTTGGCGATTGTGGACGTGGAGATGGTGGCACAAGAGAAGAAGATTGTTGTTCACAACGAGTGGGCATCTGAAAGACAAATTGAAAATTTTCAAAACACTTGATGATGAAAGGGAATTCAAAGAGAAATCTTGCTCAAAAAAATTTGCAAACAAAAACTTTGTCTGCAAATTTTTGCGGACTTTTTCTTTTTATCCGTAAAAATCGGAAAAGCACTATTAAAAAAAATTCACAAACCGGAGAAGGAGGCACAATATTTAATTGAAGCATTTGTGAAGTAAATCCGCTCAATGGTGCATTTTGTGTGAGAAATTGCATTAAACGATTTTCCATTTGAAGTTTGGCTTTAGGGAATCTTTCCTTGTAAACTGAAGAAAGCATCATTGGAGAATCGACACCCAAGCGTTCAAATAAATGAGGGACTGGGCTTCTAAAAAGATTAGACTTTTTTGAAAAATTAAGAGAAAAAAACAAACGTTAAACTACGAGAACGAGGACGCATTAAACCACCAAAATCATCGCCTAAACAGCAAGCATAGCTTTCATTACTGTCAAAACGGTCTCGAATACGCATATCACCAATAATGCTAGCCAAATTTTCTTGGGAAGAATATTGGCTCTGAAAATAAGAAAAATTTATTTTAGAGTGACATTTGATCCCAAAAAATCAAAAATTAAAACAAATTACAAAAAAATTTTTGTCCGCAATTATTTGCGAACAAGATTTTCCTCCACAAAATTTTTCAAAAAATTAAAAAAAACCGAATAAGCAGAATTCGTTCCAGGCGTCCCATATCCAGAAGATGAAGGTAACGAAGCTAGAGACCATCTTCTATTTTCCAAATGATGCCCAGGAGGGAGTGCTCTCAGCGCTACAGGTTGGCGAATTCCAGAACCACAACCAGCACTAATACTTGGACGGGCAGAAGCACTTGTCCCTCCTCCCCCACGGTGATGGTGGGGAATATTTGATGAATGTTGTTGTTGGTGGGTGCTCATTGAGGAAAATGAAGTTCTGTGAACGCGCATCTGTTGAGGAAATGGGAGTAGTTTTTAAATAAAAAAAGTTTAAGCTTAGAGGAAAAATCTTCAAAAAATTCGGTTTTGGAAAGATGAAGGGGTATTGTGACTTATAGTGGGTTTTTTTTGGCTGGACCGATTTCGACAAATGAGGTGTCATTCGAAAGAGCTTCGAAAACTGAGTCGAACTAGATATGGGGGAAGTCGGTCCGACAATCAGGGGCCGAGTTACAGACCCCTGAAGTTTGAAAAAGAGAAGGGGGGAGTAAGCTCAAATTGTGTTGAAAAATTCGAAAATGCAAATAATAGCTCATTTGACTCCTCTCGATGAGCTGAGTCGAATGACACCAAAATCACCGAAATCCAACTTGATTGGACAAAGTTATGATCGTTTATTTTAGCTCCTTACCTATGGTATATGTGGAGGTTTTTGCTGCTACGGAGGCCCCAAGTACGTCCAGAACAAGGAAGATAGGAATAGGTTTATGTTACTGACCCAGACCCATCGCCCGTAGACTCCCCGCGAGGCGCGTGCCGCAAAACCCCGCGCGAAGCGCGGGGTTTTGCACAAGCGCCTCGCCTACGCCCCATAGGTTTATGGTAGTCTTGGGAAATTAACTAAAAAATCAAATTAATAAACCTGAACGGAATTACGAACGCTCCCCGTTGAATCACCACAATTAGCGTTTATAGCTGCACTGTTGGGTTGTTGAAGACGTCCAGTAAATGATTCTCTCTGAAAAGGTAATTTTCGAATTAATTTTCAAATAGAATTAAGGTAGATAAAAAAAATAAAACAGGTAAAGAAGAAAAATATATACACAAAATGTTTATTTAACAAAATAACACTAATATAAAATGATTTCCTCTGCTGGGGGCTCGAACCCACAACCAAAAGTACCCAAAACCAAGCCAAATCCCTCTAAACCAAATTTTACATTAAGCAAATCTGATCTCTTTAAAGCTTACATTAATAACTGTACAATAGGGATGTGCAGTCACCAGGCCCGTAGCCAGGGGGGTAGGGGGGGGGAATTCCCCCCCCCCCTACCCCCCGAAATGGGGAAAAGGGAAAAATTTGGGGAAGGGCTGGGGCAAAAAAAGTGAATTTTTTTGGCCTACGGCCTCTGAAATTTAAAAAATTTTCGTCTGCGGCGCTGAAAATCAAAATTTTGGCGCCTCCGGCGCCAAAAATTTGGCGCAAAAAATTTTCCCCCCTTTGGCCCCCCCCCCCCGAAAAAAAATCCTGGCTACGGGCCTGGCAGTCACTTTAGCAATTCGCAAAAGACAAAAAGCAAAAAAGGGCTAAAGTGCCCAGCAAATCCCTGCTGCCCAACTTACCCAAAAATTTACCAAAAAAAGAAAAACCTTAAGTTTAAAAGCCTGCGGACTCGAACTCAAAAATGAACGGCGACTTCCATTTGTTGTAGCAAAAGAGTTGCTTATTCCCCCACCACCAAACATTCCTCCACCTCCCCCACCTCCATTTCCACCAGACAAAACAAAGAAAGGTGTTTGAGTGTGTGTATAAATTTGTGGATCAGAATGCCCTAGAGGGCAATGTTTATACTTCATTAAACTGTTGGGGGTGTTGATAAGTTGTTGTCGATGAGTAGAAGAAGAAAACAAAAAAGAATTGTTTAATTGACTAGTTGTTGTAATTGGCGGTTGTGGATGTTGAAGAACACCTGAATGTAAATGGTGTTCTCTATAAGAGCCACTACTATCCAATGATGAGTGATGAAAGTCTGGAAAAATATAAAAGGAGGAAGTTAATTTTTGGAAGAAAATTTTGTGTGGGGGAGTAATTAAGCACTCTATTGAAAAAAATTTTTAGAAAAAAAGAAAAAAGGGACAAGCCCAAAACGGCGCGCGGCCATAACGGCGCAAAGCCGTAACTTGCTGGAAAATCTCTGGCCCTCGGCAATTTTGGTGCCGATCTCTTTAGCCTGATGAGTAGACTCGTTCAATACTAAATTTGTTAAGATTTGGCAATCTTGAAGCGAGTTATGGCTTAGCGCCGTTATGGCCGTGCGCCGTTTTGGGCGTGTCCCATTTATTGTTTTTCAGTTATTTGCAAAAGAAAATATAAACAATAGATAATTAGAAATAGAGAGACAATTAAAGAAAATAGAGAAAAAAAATAAGTGCAGATACAAATTGCCAATAACACATTTTGCCAATAAGGGTAAAAGTACACATTTTGTCATCAAACTTTGTGACAAAACGTCGTGTTTATCCCTTATTGGCAAAATATGGGGGATCCGAAAAATAATGAGGTAGAAAAAAGGAAAAATAAGGAAGTTGATGAGTGCTGTTAGAGTATTGGGCCATAACTTTTTTAGACTTGACTCTAATTGATTAAATCTTATATCATTCGATAGCCACTGAAGAGCAGAATTTTTTATTTAATAAGTCCGATCAAATCTAATCTTCTCTTAAAAAGCTATAGCCGGCCAAACAAGAGGTGCTCAATCGACCCAAGTAGGATATAACGTCATTTTTAATTAAAAATGCAGAATGACAAATTAAAAAATAAATTCAAAAGGCTTCAATAAGAGACAAAGACAAGAGACCTTTCTTTAGCCATACCTCTTTCATTTTTCAAGTAAACCATAGAAAGTTTTATATCAATCGAAAGCTTAGAATGTACGGAATCTTTATGGCTAAAGTGCACTTTACCGGGCGATTTTAGATTTTTATGATTTATATGCCAATCGAAAGAGCTCATCAAGCTGAGTCGAATAACACCAAAATTAGTCCGCGGACTCAACTATGGACCGAGATATAGGTCCCCGAAAATCGAAAAACCATAGGGGGGACCAAGCTGTTTTTTGGGGGTGAAAAATTCGAATATGCAAATTATAACTCATTCGAAAGAGCTCCTCGAGCTGAGCCGAATAACACCAAAATCAACAAAATCCGACTTGATTTGACAAAGTTATGACCGTTTGTTTTTACCCCTTCTACAAGGTTTTCGCGGAAAAAAGTTTTTGCCGCTGCGGAGGAAGCCGGGCATGTCGAGCGGAACGACGGCCGCCGCTTCGCTACGGTCGCCGCGAGCGAAGCGAGCACGACCGCAGCGAAGCACGGCCATCGTGTAGCGAAGACCATGCCCGGCCTACCCTCCGTAGCAGCACAAAAACAGTTTTTCCAGCGAAGATTCAGTTGGTCATAACTTTGTTCATAATCATCCAATCGAGCTGATTTTGGTGTCATTCAACTCAGCTCGTCGAGCCCTTTCGAATGAGCTATTATATGTATATTCGAATTTTTTGACCCAAAAAATCCCCCCAAAAATTTGACCATTTCGAGCCCTGTATCTCGGCTCATAGTTGAGTCCGCTGGCTAATTTTGGTGTCATTCGACTCGGCTTGATGAGCTCTTTCGATTGACATATAAATTGTTCAAATCTAAAATCGCCCGGTAAAGTGCACTTAGGCCATCTTTTTTCTGAAAAGAGGGATTTTTTCAGCTCATTCCAAAAAAAGTTAGAACCAAATAAACGAAGAAAACCCGATTGCACACACTTAAACGTCTATAACTTTAAGTGGAGTGATTCAATTTAATTGGCCCCTTTGAGAAAAATAATCAGCATAAACAGGGCTTTCGAATGATATATAATAACAACACAAAAAGTTGGCTTCTGAAAAAGTTATGGCATAAAATACATCCTTGGGGGGTGATCAACGCACGTTTAAGGTCAAAGAACGCCTCAGGGCTTTTTCTATTTTTTCTATTTTCAAACCCCCATTTTTCCTTCATTTCCTCACCTTGTTGTAAATCACGAAGGGATACTGACGGACGTTTACTAGTTGTTCCAATTCTTAAAGTATCCCCACCAACACCACTACCGTTATTAATACCTCCACCAGACAAACGGTCTCCTCCCCCACCCAATATAACACTTTGAAAATCCCCTCCTTCTATTCCACTTCCTTGTGATGAATGACGTGAAGGAATCTTTAAAATTTGTTTTTAAAATTAAAAATCCCCCCTTTCTCTTACTGGATTTAACGCGTCTGATTGAGAACGTTGAAGTTGAGCGGCAGCAGATGGGGGTCTACCAGCCAAAAGGGGATGGTGGTTACGATTAATTTGAGAACCTCCTCGACGAGAGAATGAATGGGAAGAGTGAGGCAAGTAGGAGGGTTCTAAAGTTAAGAATTTAGAAATTAAACAGGAAAATTAAAATTTTAATGACGTTTCGGCGCGGTGGTGCTACGGCGTGTAGACCCATAAAATTCTTAATATTAGATCTAAAATCCCCAAATTTTGCAAACAAGTCCTAAATAAGGTTATCCACATTTCCTAAAAATTTCAGAATTTTCTGATTCATAAAACAGAAATTTTAGCTAAAAAATCAGTTTTTCACCGAAAAATGGACATTTTACGTCATTTAACGTCTATACCTTTTAAAATTCTGAACCAAAAATTCTGAAATTTTGAAGGAAAATAGCCAAGAGTATTGGGATACATTTAAACGAAGCTTTCAACAACCCAGTTTATTTCAAAAGATAATCTTTAAGGTTGCGCCAAAATGACCCCTGCGCCCAATTTATCAACTTTAAAAAAATCCCTCATTCACCTCCAGCACTCGCACTACTTTCAAAAGAATCGTATTGTGAAAAAGAACTGTTAACAGTATTATTTGCCGTTCTATGAAGTAAAGGATGTTGGTGGTGTGGGGGAAGGAAAGGTTTATTGTTGTTATTTGAACGTGTAAAAGAATGGCAACGGCCAATATTTAAAGGAAGTTTATTGGGGAAATTAATTAATTGGTGTTGATAATTTCCACTATTCCCGACAGATGAGGAAAAAGAAGAAGAATTTTGTTGTTGTTGAAGTTGGTGATAACGAGAAAAGGAGCCTTTAAATGAAAGGAAATTTAATTAGGCTTTTTTTCGATATTAAATTAAAAAGATTGACGAGTAAATAGGGTTACCCGACACTTGCGGAACGACATTTGCGGATCGACAATTGCGGATTGAATTTTGCGGAACGACATAAGCGGACCCGACATTTGCGGACCGACAGAAGCGGATCGACTTTTGCGGACCGACAGATGCGGATTAACATTAGCGGACTCGACATTTGCGGACCTGATGATTTTTCAAGAAAATAAAAATCCTTTACTCTTGTAAAAGTTTCGATCTGAATATTGAGACCGCCTTGGGCTTGTGTCTTTGAAAATTTTCGAATTTGAACAAGAAAAAAGTTATATTCCCAAAATTGTAGCTTGATTAAACATTTTCACCGGCCAGACCCGGTACCCTGACATTTTCGACACGCAAACTTGATCCAAAGAAATATTTGTCAGTCGAGAAAATTTGAAAATCCTTTGCTTTTTTAAATCATTAACTGATCCGCAAATGTCGAGTCCGCAAATATTAATCCGCATCTGTCGGTCCGCAAATGTCGGTCCGCATATGTTAATCCGCAAATGACGGGCCCGCAAATGTCGATCCGCATATGTCGGTCCGCAACTGTCGATCCGCAAATGTCGTTCCGCAAGTGTCGGTACACCGTAAATAGAAGGGAGAAAAGGTTAAAAATAAAGACAAAAATAACCAGAAAAGGAGAGGGAAAAACCGGAAATAAATGGAAATTTTAACAGAAAATGTCAAAAAGTTTAAAAACGCCAAAAATATACAAAACGCCAAAAACAAACATAATGCCAAAGTAATGCCAAAAAGGCAAAAATTATATTTATTAAAAATATACACAATGCCAAAAAATAAGCAAAAAATAAAATAAAAAATTCTACATAATATAAATTAATTAAAATTAGTATTTATTAAATATAAATTAATTTAAAAATTATAATAATTATTTGCAAAAAAATAAAATTAAAGGTAAGGAAGGGAAAAGAGGAAAGGGTAAAATGGAGGGAAGACGTGTACAAAAGTTTTTTTTGCAAAAGGTGGAGGCAGAAGGAGAGGTGGGTAGACGTTAAAGAAAAAATTTTTAAGAGGGGGGGGGGGGTGGTGGATAGACGAGAAAAAATTTTAAAGGCAAAAATCGAACAAAAAAATAGACTTACCTAATTAATATATGGATTTATTTTTTGCTTATCCTTGAGGGTAAGAAAAAAGGATGAGAGTGAAGAAAGAGTTGAGGGAAGGAGGAGGATATGCTGCGCGGGAAAATGCTTTAAAAATGCTTAATATTGAATGCAAAACAAGGTTTGGGGTTGTTTTGCGCGGGGCCGTTTCGGCGCGAGACCAAAATTGGAACTTTGGAGTAATCTAAATTCTTAAAAATTTTTCCAAATTTCATCAACATCCTTGACTACATCCTCCAGAAATTTCAGAATTTTTCATCAAATATTTTTCAAGTTATAGTCAATAAACCTCAAAAAATTAGGCATTTTTCGGAGAATTAACATTTTTAGCCCTACTTTCTACAATTCTTGAGTAAAAATTCTGAAAATTTTGGGGATCTTAAATAAGGATACGAGAGAGTTATTATTGCAGAATTTCATCTTTTCTGGAAAAGCAATTCACTGTTTTATAAGCTCGCGCAAAACGCGTCTCAGTCCTTCAAGGAGCAAAAGAGGGAGAGGGGGAGACAAGTTTAATTTAAAAATTATTAAAAAAAATTTTTTCAAAGATAAATTTAAATATAGGTTTTAAAAACATCTGTTAAGAAATAATACATAATAAATTAATTTTTACTAAAATCAGAATCAGAACAGAAAATTTTTTTAATTGCCAAAAATAACAATTTATAAATAAACCAAAAAAAGGATTTTTTCACCTGTGAAAAAATCAGAAAAATATTTATTAAAAAATTTTTTGAATAAATAATTAAAATAAATGCCAATTAAATTTAATTTTAAAAATTAGAAAAAAAAAATTATTTTTTGTTTTTTAGTTAAAAATAAGCCTGATTTGTAAGAGAATTAACTAAACTTTCTCCCCAGTAATAACTTTTATGCGCTCATTAAAAAATTCATTTAATGAGTACCTAGAGAGTTGATATTTTGTATAGACATTCCCCCAATACTGTCAACTAATTCTGATAAAAATTTCAGAATTTTTAGTTAATTAAATCAGAATTTCTGGTTAAAAAACTAACAAAAATCGACATATTTTCAATAAATTCTGACTTTTCTGACCAGAACTTCTGAAATAATTAACCAAAAATTCTGAAATTTTAAAAGAATGGAATGACCTCTATCAGAGACATCTATGCAAAATTTTACACTTTTATGTTATCATTTGGCTATTTTATAAGGTAAAAACTAGGCGTTGTCCACAAGCATCCTCCCTATTTCTAATTTTTAAAATAATTTTTTTTCAAAAAAAGTCTCTCTCTTTTAAAATTAAAAAAATTTTTTGGTAAGGCATTTTTAGACTTTCCATGAAGCTAATATTTCAAGAAAAAAATTTCTTAAGAAAAAAATTTTTTTGAAAAATTGTTCCCTCCAGGGGCTTGTTTCAATTAGCATCATATCTCAGATATGACGTGTCATATTTGTGACTAGAGTCCGACATTTGGTCAATGATGGTCAGTTAGTGGGTTAAATGTCGGACTCTAGTCACAAATATGACACGTCATATCTGAGATATGATGCTAATTGAAACAGGCCACAGCCCACAAGTAGTGTGAAGGGAACATAACAAAAATAGATTTTTAGGTTATTTGTTTTTATTTTTTATTTAGTTTATTTAACGTCCCCTCCCCTCCTTTCAATGTCCCATCAATCACAAATATACTTCTCGTTTTTCAAAAAAAGTCTCCCTCTCTTTTAAAATTAAAAAAAACACGTGCCGCTTATGAAAAATGAGAGAGAAATGCTTCAAGAAAAAATGCTTGTTTTTATTTATTAAAAAATTAAAAAAAAAATAAAATAAATATTTATTTAAAAGAAAAGGGAGAAAAAAATTAAATTGGAATTTTGCAAAGAGAAAAAATAAAACAATTGTTTATTTTAAACAAGAAAGAAAAAATATTTTAAAAATACATCAGAATATTATAATAATTAATAAAATGCCTTGAAAAATCAAAAAAAAAATTTAAAAAAAAAGAAAATTTTTCAAAATGATAAGAAACCCGAAAAAATTTAAAAATAGAAATGTCATTTATAGTTAAAAATTAAAAAAATGATAATTATGGTTTAGAAGAGAGATCGGCACGGGAGGGATCCCAGGCGGGATTTTAAGGGATACCGTCCCGGAATTCCGGGTTTTGAGCGTCGAACGGGATTAACGATATTAATCCCGCGGGATCCCTCTGTCCGATTATTTCAAACTCAATCCCGTTACGGGATCCAGGAAATGAGATTTTTGTCGGTCTCCTAATTTAGAAGCTTTTTAGATGTTCCTCCCTCTCCAATCCCCAATTAACATAAAAGAATCGACCACCAACTCCCTAAGAACTCTTCTCTAAATGTCAGATATTACTTAAAATCTTTCATGAGTGTCTCTTAATTTTATTAAAGACCGTTTTTACCTAAAAGTGACACAAAATCCCAATTTTGGGATTTTGTGTCACCTACTTAAGAAAACATTTTTGAGCTAAGAGATCCTTTAAAAAGGCTAGAAAAGACGAGTAAATTGAGTAAAAACACATAAATATCAATTACTATAAAAGGAAAAGTAAATATTAAAAATATGTAGGTGAACATCATCATCAGAAAAAATATCGGAGGGGGGGGGGAGCAAACAAAAATATAAAATCAAAAAAAGATTGTGTAGGGGCAGCTGTTTATTAAAATTATTAATTGAAAAATAATAATTATATAGATCAATGAACAATAAATATGTGTGAAAATGACGAATTAATGATAATCGGGGAGAGATAACTTTACGATATACATACATATATGTTCCTTCCAGCCCACAAGTAGTGTGAAGGGAACATGATAGAATTATGGTCGATGATGCTTTCTGTGAAGGGTAAAATAGTGAGATACATATCTCTTTCACCTCTACAAGGAAAGGTAAAATGTTAAGTAAATAGAGATGTTCCCTTCAGCCTACTAGTAGTGTGAAGGGTATGGTTGTCGGTTATTGGAAAATTTTCGGATAACTGGAACCGAAGAACCGACCGAAGAACCTAAGCGAAAAATACTCGTTTCCCCAGCTTTGATTTCGAATCACCCACCCTAGTGAAGGATACATAATAAAAAAAGAATGTTCCCTTCAGCCTACAAGTAGTGTGAAGGGTACATACACTCACAAATAAAAATCTAATTTAAAAACAAAAATGTCGTGGGTTGAAATGTCACTAAAAATACTTCAACATTTTTCTTATTTTCAACGAATATTTTTAGATATCCATATATGTAAACATAATTAAATATACTAAAAGAGTCGATATAGTACATACAACAAGCCTATGACCTAGTTTATTATTTTTTAGTTAGTTTAGTCACTGGCTGACACTAAAAAGAAAGCTAAAGCATAAATATATACAGCCTTAAATAAGCCGAGTAAAAATTCTTTGAAATTGAAGAGAGAAAAAATTAATAATAAAAAAAAGAGAGAGTGAATGTCCTTATTTACTTAATATATAAATTTCCATTTATGTAAAAATTGTTGAAAAATTTTTTTTCTAGAAAAATAATTTTTAAAAAATGCCTCAAGTAGTTAATAAAAGAAAATTATGTATAATGAGCGAAAAAATAAAATAAATGGGATATGTAATGAATAAATTATTTTATTTAACACAAAAGTGATATTAGCATAGTCATCGACAGCGTTAAATAGAGCTGTAAACAATAATTAATTCACAGGATAAATTAAAATGATTCGAACAATAGGTGTTACTTAAAGACCGTTGTAGAGTAAAGGAGCACTGGACCGAGACGAAATCAAAATAAAAATCCGAATCGAGATTCTTCGAGATAGAGAGTTTGGTCTC